CCTAAAACCTCGTTTCAAGCAAAGGTTTTCTACTCCTTCACCAGCAAACCTTTCACCAGAGCTGGCAGCAAAACGATGAGTTAACTCGGCTGGCTAAGGACAGCGCCGGTGAGGTAAGTGGACAAATGAGAGCTCTGCTCCCGGGCCCGTGAGAGCCAGCCAACAAGGGCACTGGGTTAGCCTGTGGGATGGGGCGGCACAGCCCACTCCCAGCCCACGGAGTCCACCGGGGGCCAGGCATGGCTCCCCTGCCAAGGCCAGCACGTGGGAGAGCTCCTCCAGGCCTCTGCTTCTCCGCCCTCCCTGCCCTCCCTGCCCTCGGGAGGGGGTACCCCGCGTTGGGGAGCAGGACGGGCGGCTTTGATCCGTCCCAATTGACCAAGAGGTGAGTCAATTTGCCAAGTAAACATCTGGCCTAAAATCAACTGCCAATCAGGGTTTCATAACATCCAAGGGCATCCCAATTATTCAAGAGCTCTTGTGAAATTCTCAAAATAAAATGCGTTTAAATGGCCTCTCCTTTTTAAATGAAATACTTGACACCTGGTATGTCTTGGGAGGTAGCCTGTCATAATGACAGTCTCTCATCCTGAGCAACCTTTGCAAATGACAACTGATTATCAGGATGAAAACCACTGGCTTAAACACAAAGAAACTGGCTTGATGTTGAAAATGGAGAAGCAAACTGGTGACCATTTTGAGCTGAGGAAGCCCAAATAACTTGGGAAATTACTAATATTTAGCACCAAAAAAAAATGATTCAGCCGTTGTCTAAAATGCTGATGGGGGACTGAACTTTGATCTACAGCCATCCTCCAGGTAGGAGAGAATAAAATTAAGCCCCGAAACTTTTTGTTAAAGATTGGATTACCAAATGAGAGGGAAAGAAACGCAGCTGCTGGGCAGATTTGAATTTCAGATAAGTATTCCAGTATCATGCAATTTTCTTCAAAAACAAGAATTCTCAAAGAACCTGAGAGAACATGAGAAGCCAAGAAAGGCGGTGAGAGGGTGGAGGAGGGAACCTAGGAGGCTGTGCCCAGGCGAGGCCAGAGGACCCCACTGGCCCCCCAGGCCTGGGACTCGCCCCCCTGCTGGGGAGGTGGCATGCTTCATGCCCGGGTGCATTCTGCCTGTAGCATGAGGCTCTCGCTGCCTCCGCTGCCGGCACTGGAACAAGGCTGAGCTCCAGAGTTCCAGGAGGGAACTGCCTGTCATCCAGGAAGTGGCCTGCTGCTTCTCCCGGAGTGTTTACGGTGACAGGATGATCTCTGCACATTCTTGGCCGTGTCCCCATCTGCAGCCAAGGGCACGCCTTCAAGGTGGCTGGGGCAAGGGCTGCAGCCAGAGCCAGGCCTGGTCTGCTCCAGAGGCCGCAACACGGCTGGGTCCCGAGCACCAGGCCCCCCCGAAGTTGTGGCTTGCCCAAAGTGACCCTGGAGTTAGCAGCACAGGCCCGACTGGAGCCCTGGTCTCCCAGCCCCAGCCTCCAGTCCTCAGCCCTTTCTCCCGCAGTGGTGCAGCTGAGGGAGCCCAACCAGGAGTGGGGCCGGGCACTGCAGCAGACACTTCAGCGGACACTGCAGTGAAGGCTGAGAACCCAGAGAAATGAGCTCTTTGAGCCATCGGGGCAGCTTCTTAAGAGCACAGAAGGGAGCGGGGGGGGGGGGGGGGGGGGGGGGGAGGCAAAAGCAAGTGTATACGCATAGGGAAACATAATCTGTGATTATAAATATTTTATGAGCAAAGAAAGCAGTACCGGCCAAGAGGTCGGGGTGTGGAGGGTGGACGGCAAATTAGATCCCGGTCTGCAAAGTGATAGGGCAGCTGGAAGAGCAGCAGCACCGAAGCTATTCTGGGCTGCGTGCGGCGCGGGCCTGCTTCAGAGCGTGGGCTCCGGCCAGCGGCTTTGTGGGAACCGCAGCCTTCCAGCGGGCAGCGAGAGCACCTTGGGAGCCCACGGAAGACAGGAGAGGGGGCAGCGAGGACAGTCCACTGGAGGGACCTGGGTAAACCTTAACACATGAAGGGGGTGAGGGATGCAGCCGAGCGGCCGGCGGCCTGGGAGCGGTTGGAAGGATGAGCACACTTTCTGCTGAGGAGAGAGAAAGGAGTGAGGCCGACCCTGGAGAGCAAGTGACCTGCAAAGCATGACAGCAGCTCAGGTCAAGCTGCCCGGTCGGTCAGAGCAAAGGCCCAGCCCCTCGGCCGATGGTGCCAGGATGAGAACACCAATTCCTCCTCTGCTTTACCTGCAGGTGGATCCCCTCCTCCTGCAGCCTTTGGGAAGCAGCCCAGAAACAGAATGAGGAGCTTGCTGAGGGCCAGCTGCTGCTGCTGAAGACACGCACCACGGGCAAAGCAGGCCTGGCCTGGGTGAGACTCCTCCTCCTTGGCCAGGCACCACCGAAGCGACCACGCCACAGAGTCTGCTGGCCCTTCCAGAGGCCAGAGGGAGAGGGATTTCAGCCCCTAAAACACCCAGAGATGCCGGAATCGAGCTCAGTCGGAGAAGCCTGGGGAGCAGTGCACCGCTCAGCTGGGAAGATAGAGGCTAAAAGCCCGTGTTCGCTTCCTGGCAGTCAAAGTTTAGCAGGCAAGAGGCTCCCCGTGTGCTCGCCGGACACGGGAAAACTGGACCATCCTCTGGGATCTCAGCCAGTGAGAATCGACTCGAGACTCCTCGGCAGCAAACCCTCTGAGTTGGAAGTCCCGGGATTGGGATCAGAGACCCGCCTTCGCACCTAAGAGATCATATGACCTCTGAAACTCAGTGTCTCCATCTTAAAAGCAGGACCAGCATCTGCCAAACCGAAGGTCTGAAGAACACCAAGAGTATGCATATACACATAGATGCTTTCAAAATAGATGCTAAGTGCTATCCCAGTTTAAGAGTTTATTTATATCCAGCTACCTACCTGACATCTGCTGGCTGTCTCAAAGGCACCCCACTCAGATGCCCCCGCTGCTCCTCCTCCCCCACGCTCAGGCCTCTCCCAGGGCACCCCGTGCAGGGCTGGTCAGGATCACCCGTGCAGGCATGGATGGAAGCCAGAAACCTAGGCCCATTCTCGGCCCTCCCCGGCCCCCACCCGTATTAATGCATGACCAAGCCCAGTCAGTTCCACCGCCTAAAGGCTTCTACTCCCTTCCATTGCCCGTCCTAGTCCTACATGCCGTCCTCTCGCAGTCTCCAGCAAAGCCTATGCCACCCGTGCTGGCCTCCCCCAGCCCTCTCCATGGAGCAAACAGAACCATGCCTTCCCTCCCACCACCCTGCCCTGCTTGCTAAAAACTCCACAGCAGTGCCCCAGGCCCTCCCACAAGGAAACCTCCTTCCCACGGCTCCTCTGCGGCCTCGCCCTACACCACACTCACCTGCGCTCCCTGCTCCTGGCTGTTCCTTTGGTCCCTGGATGTTACCCCATTCCCTCCCAACACAGGGTTTTGCACATGCTCTTCCTCTGCCTGAAATATCACACACACACACATACATACATACACACAAACACACACCCCGCACCGCACCTAGCTAATGCCTCTCCATTTGTTTACTAAGATAGAAAGTACATAGAGTGCATTCAAGTACGCAGCTTCCTAATTAGTTCAGATGTACACATTCATGCAACTTCTGCCCAGACCCCAAACAACCCAGCACCCCATAAGGTGCTCTCTTGCCCTATTTATTCTATACTCCTCCCCACTCCCAGGTAACCGCTGCTGTGACTCCTATCGCAACGCCTGCTCGTTCTTCAGAACGCAGCTGATGCAACCCTTTCCCAGGAAGCGGCCTCCAATCCCATGGGGAAAGCCGAAGCCCTCCTTCGTGGGCACTTATTCACAGCGAGGGGTTTGCATTTAAGCAATGGTGTGATCGGCATCCATGACCCCTAAGACGCAGTAAGCTCCTCAGGAACAGGGACCACATCTGCGTCGACTCACCCGTTTCCCTGTGCTTGCACATGCTCAGTAATGACAGAAAATAGCTCATACCTGTCGAGTGCTTATTCACTGCCAGGCACTCACAGGTACTAACTCATGAAACTCTCACATCAGCAGCCCTATTGCGTAGGTAGCATTATTATATCCCCATTTTACTGGTAAGGAAACTGAGGGACAGAGGAGTTCGAGAACTTGCTCAAAGTCACCATAAAAGCCACAGTCTGGCTACAGAACAGAGTTCTTACTCATCATGCGACTCTGTCTCTCAGAGGCCCCTGGATTATTTAATGAGTTAGCACCCAAGATATTGTGAATGAATTCATAAATGAGTTCATGAGGCTCCATCAAAGGAACGAGAGAGGCCCCACACCGCCCCAAGGAGACCCATAAACAAATGGAAGACAGGCTGCCATTGAATCACCTGCACAGGCCCAGGATCGGTCACCCACAACACACAGGGCTAGTCCCCTTCTCCCCAACACCCAGGGGAGGGAGCCTCCTCTGTGGGTGTAGAGGAGGCTCTGGTCTCGGCAGGGCGCTCCCCAGCAGAGGAAGGGTGGCTGTCTGGGTCCTGTCAGAGCCTAAAGGCAACCTCCAGCTGCATCCGACACGTCACTCCGCTCTTGTTCATGACAACCCAGCCCTCTCCGCACACACTTCCCAGACCGCCCTCTGACACAGGGAGATGACACTGAATGGGGGAGCGTCTGCCTGGTTAGAAGGGATGGGTTCCACTGCACGTTTACTAACGGGCAATGGTCGCCCCCTCACCTCCCAGAACCTGATGCCCCTGGGGGAGCCCCGAGGAAGTCTGCTCCATGCAGACACTGCCGTCTGTGGCCTGACACGGGCTGGCCATCTTGTAACTGCCATTTACCTCCCAATCCCCTTCCAGAAAGCTCAAGGAGGGGACACATGTGTACATGTTTATTTCTCACAGGACACTGTTCCCCAGCCACGGGACCCCACACTCCCCTCCAGCCAGGGCGCGGCCTCCGGAACTGCTCCCCCGTGAGCCCGGCGGCGGCGGTGGCAGCGGCGGCGGCAGCCAGCTCCGCTCACACAAAGTTCTGCGCGATGGCCAGCACCTTGGAGAACTCGCCTTCCCTGCGGCGCAGGCTGGTGGGGATGGGCGTCTTAATGCGGGTGCCCACAGGGTTCCCGTTGTCCTCGATGAGGACCACGTTGTTGGAGTCGAACCGGGGCGTCATCCGGGGACCGGGCATGCAGTGCCCCACGATGAGCGCCTTTTTCTTCTGCCCCTTGATGGCCAGCAGTATGCGGTCGCCCACCTTGCCCACCCCGTTCTTGTTGTAGACGTGGATGCAGCGGGGAGGGCGGTGGTACGGTGTGTTCCCCAGGGCGCTGTTGTCCACCACGCGCACCCGCGTCATCTTCTGAATCGCTCCGAGGGTCCCGGTGGTGCTGCGGGTAAAGAAAAAAAAAAGTCTGAGGCCTGCGCCTCTCCTGCCCAGCGCAGAGGCCGGGATGGGACAGAGCTCCCGTTAGCAACAACACGCTGGACAGAGACTCGCCCAGGCTCTGGCAGAAGGCAGGTGCCTCCGAGGACTTCTCTGTACCCGACACAGTTTCGGCACAGACAAAAGCTTCCGCTGCCTGGTCAAGATCTTGACTCTTTGGCTCAGTGGATAGAGACAACAGCCTGGGGACTGAAGGGTCCCAGATTCGATTCCGGTCAAGGGCATGTACCTTGGTGGCGGGCACATCCCCAGTGGGGGGTATGCAAGAGGCAGCTGATCTATATTTCTCTCTCATTGATGTTTCTGACTCTCTATCCCTCTCCCTTCCTCTCTGTAAAAAAATCAATAAAAATATATTTAAAATAAAAAAATAAAATTAAAAGATCTTGACTCTGTTGGGTTTTAAAGAGAAACCGCTTTTCTGTTACAACAAACCTCATGGCCCCCTGACTTGAAAGCCTTTGATTTCCAAAAGGACTCTGAGTTTTAAGGGAATACCTCATGGGCCAGGCCTCATCCTCTGACTCGCCTGAAAAACCTGCTCCCCCAGACTATACTGATTCCCAAATTTTCTCATCTATAAGTTGCTGGGAACCATGAGCAAGTAGGTCTGCAAAGGGAGTCTGCTGACACTACATAGCAGAGACAGGAAATATGTCAAGGTAATAGTCTTCTGTCTTAATGCATTTTCCCTCACTTGAAATAACTTTGTGGTTTATTGTTATTTTATTTTTAGACATTTGTTTTTAAACAGGTCCCTCTTAAAGGCAGACGAGCTATTGTTAAGTAATCTGAGGACAGTGGGTTTCCATTTTCCTGATGCTAGCACCTTATGTGCTGGTGCTCCCCAGGGGCCCCAGCCCCTCCTCTCCCCCCAGTGCCTATTCTGGGCAATGTTATCTATGCCCATCGCTTCCAACCGGTACCCTCCATCACCAGCCCCTCCGGTCTCCTGTGTTCTAGTCCTGTGTTTCCACTCTACACTCATTGCACATCCCACAGCTACTCACAGGAGGCCCCACACTGACCCCTTCGCCTCCCCTGTGATCTTCCCCCTGCGACTGCGTTTCCCATCGAGATCGTGGCTTCTCCAGAAACTCCAGCACCCAAGCCATACACCTCTCTCTGCATCACCCTCAGCTGCTGCCAGTCCTACTGATACTGGCTCCTAAGCAGCTCTGTCCTCTCCCTCCACCCCATCAACACCTCCTAGATTCACAGCTCACTCTCTCACACCAAGATTATGACGCCGTGTCCTAACCGGCTCCCGGTGCACCTCACTACGCCAACCAAGGGCTCCTTTTAGAATATCAACTGAGGCCACTCCCCTGCTTACGACTGTTCAATGGTTTCCCAATGTCTAACTGTCAACAACCTGGCCCCATTGTACCTGTCTGCTAAGGTACCATCTCCTACCACCTACACACGCGCCCTGTGCCCCAGTGTCCGGGAAGCTCTGGAGCTCGCCAAGCACTCGGCCCCCGCAGCCTTCCGAGGGCCTGCTCCCTCTTCCCTTCTGGGAGGGCTGCCTCCACTCTCCTTCCCTTCTCCTCCTCCTCCCCCTCCTCCTCCTCCTCCATTAACAGCTCTGGTCCGGGCTTAAACAGCACCATACAAACCTCTATTATTATACTTGTCACACTTCCTTCCAGTTATTTGTTTCCAAGTTTGCTCCCATGGCCAACTGTGAGAACTCTTCCAGGGCAGGAAGCAATTCCTGTTCATCTCTCTATTACCAACCCAGACACGGTGCTTGGTGAGCGCTTGTGAAAGGAGGGCACGGACGGGGCCAAAAGGCATGTCTGCCAATAGGAATGTAGCTGTGCTCTCCTCCTGGGTTGGCATCCAAAAGGAGGGGAAGCTGTCACACTTCCGTCTTGCTTGAGCTTTTGGTAGTAAGTAGCTTTTTAAAAATGACTCCAGTTTTTAAATAGAAAGTTTCAATGCACTGGGGGGAAACCATAGGGTTAAGAGATGTCCGATTCATTCAAGTTTGGCAAGGACTGAAAAGTTCCATCTTCCACCACATGCCTTCCTCTCCCGCCTCTCACAGCACCGTCATCTCCGTTCCTCTGCCCCTCACCTGACCCCACCAGGCCCCGGCTCAGTCTGATTCCTTCACCCCACCTCCCGGAGTTCCCACTCCTGGTCTAGTCACCATAACAACCAGCCCTGATGGGAGGCTGTTCAAAAATGCAGCTTTAAGAACTTCCTGGGGAAAGTTACCTGAAACAGCGCTGGCCGAGGCCGCTGCTGATGTGGGCGAGAGGGCCCCTGAGCCCAGTCAGGAAAGCCATGGGATCCCAAGAGGGCAAATCCTGCAAAAAAAAAAAAAAAAGGGGGAGATTTTATTGTTACGTCAGTGGCTTTACGCAGAGCCCGTGTTCTTTGTTGTTGTTTTTTAATAAAAGACGGCTGAGGACTCGTGTGGAAGATGGCACTTCCAGCACAAGATCGTTCATAAACCTCAGTGGTGAAAAGGTTCGCCGATGATTCTCTGGAACTCCAGCTACAATTCTGCTGATTCATGTTCTAGCTGGGGTCAGAGCGCCGGCATGACCCACAGCAGTTCTCGCCATAAGGAACACAACGGCACAGACAGTGCCTTCATCACTCCCACGGGCCCAGAGGGAAGCGTCGATCCCGGCTGCACAGCCAGCCGGCGACCATGTTCCACGCCCTCACGCCCTCCGCAAAGGAAACCTGCACGCCACGGCCTCGCTGACACGCATGGCCTCCTGAGATCAGAATTTCTGCTCCCGGAAAGGAAGCAGATTACCTGGGCCACTGCCCAGGCTGTCTGTCACATCACCTCTCCCCCACATGTCAACGCCAGGACATCTGGACAGCTCCAGGCTAGCAAAGTGGAGCCAAACAAAGCCTTTGACAAGTCACTGCCCAAAGTCTCTATTTGGGTAAGTCTCCCAAACAGCATCCTAACACAGAACCACCACCTGCCCCACCCTGCAGCTAACGTGGAGAGCACACCCCGACCCAACACTAATGCTCCAGCGTGCACAGCCGCTGCCCAGCGGCTCCCTGGAAACGTGGCAGCCCCGTTTCCTGCAACACCTGGGCATCAGGCAGGGGTGTGTTTATGAAAAACCTAGAGCCAGTCTGCAAAACACGCCTGTTCGCCCCTCCAACTGTAAAACACGCCTGTTTTCCAACTGCAAAACACGCCTGTTCGCCCCTCCGCACGTCGGGCTGTAGAGGGCCTCTGCGAAAGCCCGGCTGAGAGAGGCTCCTCCACCGAAGTGTGTACATGCAGCTCTGCCCAAGCTCAAAACACCTCAAGTAAGACTTTATTTCTTAAGAGTGTGGGAGCAGGGAACCCACGTTTACCTCCACAGGAATATCTACACACTTTAGAAATGCTTTTTAACTGCAATTTAGCCTCAAATCACAGGCCTACTCCCCAGTGTTTTCCTTATGACAACCCAGTAAGCACTGGCCAAGATGGAAGTATGGTGGAAAAATTAAGTGCAAAAGGAGTCCGCTAACTTGCAGAACTACTAACAACTAATGCACAGCATTGAGGACGGCTGGATGAGGCAAGCTTTACCTGGGTGGCGAGGTAACCCTGCAGAAGGAACCGGAGCTCCCATGTCCCCATCTGTAACGTGTACTCACAGGTGGTCATGGCGTGAGCCGTTCAGAGCACAGGGCCCAGTGCCTGGCACTCAGAACCTATTAGCTGCCTTTATCATCATCGTCGTCGTCATCATCATCTAGTCACATCTCATTTCACAGATTAGGACACTGAGACACGGAGAGATGAAGTGACATATGTAAAGCCCCATGACTAGATAGGGCAGAAACAGAACCAGAAGTGGACCAGGTTTCCGTCCCAGGTTCTTTTTACCGCACCCTGCAGCCTCACTCTGCCATACCAAACTCACCTCACACATGGAAACGAGGCCCGGGGACGTGAGATAACGTGGCCAAGGTCACACAGACAGGAGTGACAGCGTTGTAACCTAAACCCAAATAGTCGGCTTCCTGAGCCCTTGCTCTTAGTCAACAGCGTGAGCATGGTAACTTTAATTTTAAAATTAATATTTTTCCAACTGTTAGATCATCCTTGTTCCATGCACATTTTACTCATACCCAACTCAATGGTTGCTAAGTCAACTGCAATATAGATAACATCAGGTTAAAATTTTTCATTGTAGCCCAATTTAAGTTTTCCAGATAATCTGTGGTGTCGGTGGCAAGAGCTCCACAATGGAGCAATAACTGACTACTGGCTTTTTAAAAACCTGCTCCAAACGGCAGTCCTGGTCCAGGCTGAGGTACCGCCCATCTTGGACACGCTCCTGAGAGAGCCCTCGAGGTTAGCCCAGCACCACCCACACGTCCGCTCCTGAGAAGGAGACACCTGTCCCTTCACACCATTCTGCTTCATCAATGGCACTTAGGTTGGTCCAAGAACTGCAGAAGTGCCTGGGGGCTTCCCAGAACTTTCCGTCTTGAGTATAACAAACTCCGTCCTTCAAGGTGCCTGAACTCTTCAGGGCAGTGTGTGCACAAACACACCCAGGCTCGCAGGGCCTTGCTCACGAGCCCCCTGGCCTATGCCCATCTCTGCCCAGCTAAGTCTGACCCAACTCCAAGTGCTACTCCTCCATGAAGCCTCACGCAAACTGCAGCATCAGATGCTACCCCTCCTGACAGAGGACAGCTGGGCAGCCCGTGCCAAAAGCATTCTCACTGCTCCAACTTCCAGGATCCAAACTCAAACAGTGAATAAATTTAGGTACTTTTTTTTTAAATTTAGGTACTTTTTAAAAATGTTTTTATTGATTTCAGAGAGAGGAAAGGTGAAAGAGGGAGGGAGGGAGGGAAGGGAAAGGAGAGAGATAGAACATCAATGACGAGAATCATCAATCAGCTGCCTCCTGCACACCCCACATGGGGATCAAACCCACAACCCCAGCATGTGCCCTGACCGGGAATTGAACCGTGACCTCCTGGTTCATGCATGGGTTGATTCTCAACCACTGAGCAACACCAGCCGGGCAAATTTAGGTACTTTTTAAAAAATAAAGCTGATATTCCTTGTGGGGTTTTTTGTTGTGGTTGTTGTCGTTGTTGTTTTTAAAGCTGATAACCCTTAACATTCTAGTTCTTGCTACTCAAACTCAGAAACCACAGAAATCTTGATAACGTGGCATCTGAACTCACTGCAGGAATTCAGGAATCGCACAGACTCAGGTCATGAGGAATACTTGTACTGTCCTCAACCACAAGAGCACACATTCCTGTCTCCAGGGAGCTCTTACAGTCGCACACAGAAGGGCCTGATTCAAGGACTTTTCACTAACTCTTGGTGACCTAAAGATGACCTTTAGGCCCAAAGGGCCTAAGACATCAGATGGACAACAGTAAGCCTTCCTACAAAGTTGGAAGCACAAAAGAACCAAATGTATTCACTTATTGTATAGACAGACAGATAGATGGAGAGATGGATGGATGGATGGATGGATGGATAGATAGATGGATAGATATCCTTTATTCCTTTTTTTAAAAAAGTCTGTAGCCTCCTTTACTCCCACCCCAGCAAGACCTCAGCAGGTCTCCCTGGAGTAGTGCAATCAACACTGGTTGAATAAATGAAGTAGCCAACGAAAAGACATCCCTATCCCTAGCTGGTATGGCTCAATGGATAGAGCGTCAACCTGCGGACTGAAGGGTCCCGGGTTCGATTGCAGCCAAAGGCACATGCCTGGGTTGTGGGCTCAATCCAGGGGGTGTGCAGGAGGCAGCCAATCAATGATTCTCTCTCATCATTGATGTTTCTCTCTCTCTCCCTTCGTCTCTGAAATCAATAAATATATTTTTTTTAAAAGAAAGAAAAAAAGAAAGACATCCCTACTCATGGCTCCAGACACACTGTAGAACAGTGGTCAGCAGCCGGTGGTCCGAGGACCATTGATGGTCCATGAGGTCCGAAAGGCTGGCGACCACTGCTGTGGAGCTCTTCTCTGTCTGTCGGGAACCGGGACATCACACGCAAACATGCTTTAGGGGACCACAGTGCTGGTGGCGGCAGGACTGGCTCATGCTGTCACAGGCCCCTGGAATCATCCCCCAGGCTGGTGCCCACACTGCCCGCTGTAAAAAACACTGCATCCCACCTCTAAATGACTGGTTTGAGTCAAGGAAGAATAATGGAGGCAGCAATTTACTTCAAAGTAACTTTGATTGGCCTCGATGTTATTTCCTAACATAAATCCACCCTGTAGGCACAGGCCCTGATCCACTTCAAATGTAGTCTATATATAATGCTTTATTTCAACACCGAGTATTCTGTTTGCCCGGAAAATAACCCCAATGATACTTCCTCCTCTAACACTCTCACTCAGAGGAGGCCAGTGCCAGAGAGGGCTTTTCATGCCATTTTCTGGTTAGCACTGAGTATTGCCCTTCACGTTTGGTCTATGAATCACAACCTCTCCAAAAGGGGGAGGGGAGAGGAGGAGGAAGAGAGGGGAGGGCAAAGGAAAAAAAGGAGGGAGGGAGGGAGGGAGGGAGGGAGGGAGGGAGGGAGGGAGGGAGGGAGGGAGGGAGAAAGGGAGAAAGGGAGAAAGGGAGAAAGGGAGAGAAGGAAGGACAGGGGGAGAAGAAAGAAAAGATATTCTACCTGGTTTGGCTCAGTGGATAGAGTGTAAACCTGAGGACTGAAAGGTCCCAGGTTCGACTCCAGACATGGTATATGTCCGGCTGCAGGCTTGATCCCCAGTAGGGGGCATGCAGGAGGCAGCCGATCAATGATTCTCTCTCATCACTGATGTTTCTCTCTCCCTCTTCCTTCCTCTCTGAAATCAATAAAATATATATACATATATATATATATATATATATATATATATATTTTTTTTTTTTTTTTTTTTTTTTTTTTAAAGAGAGAAGGAAGAAAGAAAAGGATAAATTACTTACAACCCAAGAACCATGCCCATTTTCCACCTGACTTAACTTGAAGGTCTGCCTTCATTGTGGAAGCCAGGGAGGACTGTGCATTTCAGTACAAACAGGTGAGCTTTTCACTTGGCATCACCTTACAGATCCCACTGGAAGGGCGCTCAGTGAGGTGAGGGCAGGGCCATGCATGCATGCCTGCCTGCCTGCCCTGTACAGTGCTGCACACTCAGGACCCAGAACAGTGCCTGACACACAAATGCAGCTCAGTGAGAATCTGTCAAATGAATAAAATTAATCTGCAACTCATCCCCCAGCTCCAGCAGGCTCCATGTAGGGGGACTGGTGGTCTCTCTTGTGCCTTTCTCCGAGTGAC